TTTACAGTCAACGACAAGCGATTAGTCAGCAGAGGCTGCGCCAGAGAAGGCGGTAGCGCTTAAGTGTTTGCTTAATACTTTGTTTCTATTTCTGTTGTTTAGATTTTTATTTGCTGCTAGAAAGGAATATTTCATTTATTATCTATTTCTATTTTTCTTTTGTTATAATTTGTATTTTGATTGCACTTATTTGTAATTAGAATAATAGTCATCTGCTAAGAAGAAGCTTTTAGTATTTGTATTGCTTGTTTACTGCACTTAAGTGGCGAACTGTCCCGCGGTAGTTTCGATTTGAGCCATTCGCCTGCTATAGACTTTAGGTGTGCTAATAGGGGTTATGCGCAACAGACTTCCGTATTCTGTTAACCGAGTCTCGTCGCTTCCGGTTCAAGCGTTTTGCATATGCTTCGTTAAATATAAAGCAGTTTTACTCAAGACGCCTTCAAAGTAGATACCAAAGATTATCATAACCAATGTCCATCACATATGCGGACTGATATCTAAAAGTATTTTATTTTTATTCTTTTCACTAACATTTAGATATAAAAACAGCTAGCTAGTTTAACTGATTATCTTAAAGGTCCATAGATATCGCTATTATTTAATACGGCTGTTTACACGTTCTCAGACAAGCGGAAGTGATGAGACCTGTTTTCCGGGTTTGGTCAGGTGACGTTCGACATGTACCCTTTTGTGAATGTGTGCACAGCGACCGTAAGGCTATTTCAACTGCTTGGTCACTCGCCAAATTTAGGAGAAGCGATTAGTCAGCAGAGAAGGCCAATTCTATTTCCAATTCTAAGTTTATAAAACGGATAGTTCCAGTCCTTGATTCTGATTGGTTGAGCCACGTTCGAAGCTGTTGTAAATTACTCTACAAACATACACCTTTGTTTACTTTGTGTGTTGCTTGGCAACCACTTTGTTGCAACCACAACTGTTTCTGAGGAACTACATTGTTTGGTGGAAGAATACTGTTTTTATTAATATCATTACACTTTATTTGCTCTGTTTTATTTTGTGAAACCTAACTATGTATATGGAATAACCGTTTTATAAAAGCAATAAGCCCCGTGAAGCTGTGGTTTACAGTGAATTTATAACAGCTAAGGTTTTTTTTTTATTATTAACAATGCCTCTTAGCTGTTATAAATTCACTGTAAACCACGGCTTCTTGGGGCTTATTGCTTTAAATTTATGTTGGTTGCAAACAGTTTAGAAAAACTTTTATACTATTTTGAAAAAAACATACGTTTAATAACTCTAATAATGTCAAGTGGCATAACCATTAAGTATTTTTTGTTTGCTTACAAGCATTTTCATATTTACCTTGCATACGTACTAGTCTTATATTAGTTTTATTATTTATTTATTTTTAAATATTGAAGTTAAAAGGCATTTTTTAAAACAAATATAATCAATTATTAAATAAACACATATAAAACAAAGCCTTGAAGGTTTTTAAGGGCTCTCTCTATGATATAATTTCGTCCTCAAAAATTCCTAAAATTTTCTTCAAGTATTAATAAGCAGTTTTATTTCCTAAGAAATAGTAACAAAAGATTACACCAAAGTACTTTCAAAAATTGCATTGTTTTAATGATTTATTATTTAATGATATCAGGACAGTTACATCGGCCTGACATTTTTTATACCAATTAAAAAAAAAAAATCTAAATATATGCATATTAGAAAATATGTATATTTAAGTCCTTCCATGTTTGAATTAATTTCTTTTTTATGCATTTAAGAATAAAATAATAGATCTGGCCAAAAAAAAAAAAAAAAAGTGCATCATATTATGGAACGATAAACCTTTTAAATTAAATAAATTTCTAGGCACTCCTCTGTTGCACACAAATGAACTTAAGTATAGGTAAACGTAATGATTTGGGACGGTCCTCACCTCTCCTCTGATTGTGCTCTCTTTCTCGGCTCTTTCCACGGCTGCTACTGCGGCTACGACTCCTGCTTCGACTGTAGCTTCTCCCCCGTGAGCTCCCTCCTCGTCGCTCATGTCGGTCTCGGTACGATTCTCCGCTCTTTCCATGACGGTCCAGTTCCCGTCGCTTACGGTCGTCTCTCCTGCGGTCATCTCTAGCCCTGAGTTGAGACGTTTAGATACTGCGTGTTACTGATGAGTGAATTTGATATACATTGGACAGCTCGAACTGCCTCATGTCTGGTGTGAAAGGGTTTTTACACATAATGGAAGTTTCATGGAATAATTTGAGGTACTCAATAAGATTTTGTTTTTTTTTTAAAGAAATTAATACTTTCAAGGATGCATTACAACGATTAAACTGAAAGGTGACAGTAAAGACTTCTACATTGTTACAAATTATTTCTATTTGAAATGTTGCTTCTTTTAACTTCCTACTCATCAAAGAAATCTTTGATTTATATATATATCAAAGAAAAAAATAGAAGAAAATATATCATGGTTTCCAGAACAATATTAAGAAGCACAACTGTTTTCAACATTGATACTAAAAATAAATGTTGCTTGAGCAGCATATTAGAATGATTTCTGAAGGATCATGTGACACTGAAGACTGGAGTAATGATGCTGAAAATTCAGCGTTGATTTACAGGAAAACTTTATATTACTGAATTACTAAAACACTTTTGAAGACCAACCTTGATTCGTTGAAGTCTGAACGATTCCTTAATGGGCTTCTTCTTCTTCTGTTATCCCTATCATCTTCAACATGACTAGGCTGAAAACACGTCAATGTGTTATTAATATTAATGCAATTTATTCATTTATTTACACTAGGAATCCGTCATGACTATTGGAGAGTATAGTGCACTATTATACACGTCAAATCAAGTAAATTTTATTTTTATGTTTTTAACAATACACATCGTTTTAAAGAAAATCATGATGATAATGCTTATAATGTCATAACATCTTCATGCCTTATAGTTGCATCAAGCAGATTAGAGCTGGGTGATAATACAGTTTACATTTTTCAATTATATAAACAATCAAGCAGTTGCTATACCATTTATATTGGATACACTATATATGTATCCAACTTTATATAGAGAGCTGTGTCATTATACAGTTTACATTTTGCAACATTATAAACAATAAAAAATATTTTACACTGTTATTTCCTATTAGTGACTATTTACCTCTTCCTTCTCCTCAAGCTTCTGCACTGGGATTTTACTCTCTTCTTTAGCAGCTGGAGTTCCCAAATAATTTTTGGTGGTTAGACATTCAAAGAGTTTATCGACGAACCCTGTAGTCTCTGTGAAACAAACAGAACAATGAATCAATTCAGTAAATACAACAAAGCGCATGATAATCTTATTAAATCATTCACGCTTGACAAAAGGGCCTGAATTCACTAGCAATTGCATACGTATGTGCACAGTATTCACAACACTTTCTAAATTTAGAACAAACAGCTATGTGAAGACTTTTTTTTTACCAATACCTTTCTGAAGGAAAACATCCAGCTGATCCGCACACAACGCTCGGAGTTCTTTCTCTGGTTTATCCTTCTTTACTAACGCCACAACGTAGTTTGCCAATGCAGACGGGTCAGCATCACATCTGTAAAAGATCTCAGGTTCATTTCATGTAAATCCACACATGCAAAAGACAAGAAGTTTCCTATCTAATCCAAAAGTCACGTGTATCCATGCAGGTCTTCTAAAACACCAATACACTACATAAGTGTTGTTTACTAGCAGCTTTTCCAAGAGGTCTACTACTAGGATGCACTGAAATCAAACACTTGACAAGTTGTCAGCCAGTGCAACAACCACCAAACACACTACTGACTTCAAAAATAAACTGCCTGCTGATCACACATGCCAAGGCTTTAAAACGAAAATAACTTGTGCCCTAATCCTGTTTTGGCCCAGTCTATGAAAACTATCAGGCTGTTTTGATGACCACCCCACTCTGCCAGCAGACCCTCTTAGCTTAGCTTCCTACTTCATAGCTTCTAACTAGGAGATGTGTTAGTTTTCTGAACAATATGACCTTATATATGAATACAACACAAATGAACTATCCTTTAAAAACAATCAAAGTAAGCGATATCTGTTCGCAGAGCGGTTAAGCGGTTTGAAACCCAGCTAAGCTGTTAGCATGTTAGCTTCACTCTTTCAAATGTCACTGTTCATCACTTACATGGGTTCAAGAAGTTTAGCCAGCCAGGATTTCAGAGCGTCAACATTGTCTATAATCATCCTGACGCGCAAGTGATTAATACTGATAAAAGGCTGGGTGTTTATGCGCAACTCCTACTAGCATCGTCTGAAAACACACTGGGCCTTCTGTAATCACTAGCACGTCGGACGAGCTGCTGGAGGTTCTTGGCAACGTCACAACGCAAAGAGGACAGCCAATCACAGAGCTGCTTTAACATGCCATGATGCATACCATAATTACCAGTCCCCCACTTTTCATAATGGCCACCCACGTCAGAGATAGACTATTTAATACTGAATTGTTTATGCCATGCTGGAATGTATGGAATGTATGGAACATTTCTGAGAGAAAAAACAAACAAAAAACAAACAATGCACACCCCAATAATAATAATAATAATAATTTGATAAATGACAATAAAATGATTTATTATTATTATTATTATTTATTATTTGCTATATTACAGATTACAAGTTACCCCATTTAATTCTTATAAATCATCCAAAAGATGTTATTTAAATCTAGTGTTTTGCACATGTTTCTGTGAGGGGTAGGGGTTGGGTTAGCTGATAGAAAATATCATTAACCTGATATAAAATCAATGGACGTCTATGCAATATCTTCACTAAGATAGCAAAAAAAGATGTGTGTGTGCCCGCGCGCGCGAAAATATTCAGATGTACCTTTGTAATCGTTAACATTTTCATAACAGGTTACAGTTACATTTATTTTGTAATTAAATTACGTAACATGCAACTAGTTGTACTGCCCAACACTGCATATAACTGCACCGGAATATCACAGAGCGGCTCTTGTAAACTGGGGAAGAGTATTGAGGCACTACGAACTCCATTACCCATAACACAAAGCGTCTTCCGTTTCCGCACGGTGTCATCAGCCGAGTGCAGCGTGGGTTTCACGCTTCAACAAATCCTGCCGGAGTTACAGCGAATAGATCAGAATGACGGTACATTTCATTAATAATATGCCGGTTTAATGGTTTACACTCTTTACTTCATGCGGTTTAGAGTATTGCCTGCTTCATGAACTCAAACAACAAAAAATGAAATAAACCTGTCCATTGAGCAGCTAGCTTCATGCAAATGTGTCGCTTGATCATTTATGTTTTTTGAGTCATGAGCGAAAAGTAGGAGCAGATGTTCTATCCACACAGTGAGCGATCTCAATAACGTTGTTACTTTCTTGCAAGTATTCATAAATATGAATGGAGTTGACAGCTGTCAATCAAAGGTGCTGATGCGCATCACTGCTGTTCTGATCTGGAGACGAGTGCCACTATATAGCTTAGGAAATGTACCATTTTGCTTGCTGGAAGTTTTAGTAATAAACAAACTATGACACTTAACAGATCACTAGATGATGTACATTAATTTATGAACTAAAGTTTCGATGCATTTCTAACTGTTTACATAAGGTAATATTTTAAT